CCAGCAGGCAGGGCCTGATCCGGGGTGACCAGGTGCCACCAGGCATAGCTTGATCCAGGGTGACCTGGTGCCACCAGATACGGCCTGATCCAGGGTCACCTCGTGCCACCAGATACGGCCTGATCCAGGGTCACCTCGTGCCACCAGGCACAGCCTGATCCTCCCAGGGGTGACACGGTGCCATCAGACATGCCATGGCCTGATCCAGGGTGACACGATGCCACCAGGCATGGCCTGCTCTGGGGTGACACAGTGCCACCAGATGTGGCGTGTTCTGGGATGACCTGGTGCCACCAGGCATGGCTTGATCCAGGGTGACACGGTGCCACCAGGCATAGCTTGATCCTCCCCAGGGTGACACGGTGCCATCAGATAAGGCCTGATCCAGGGTGACACGATGCCACCAGGTGTGATACAGGCCCACCAGGCACAGTCCAATCGTCCCTCACGGTGACATGGCCATGTGATGGTCCCTAAAGCTATTGTGATGCCACCAGGCATGGCCCAGTCCTCCCCAGAGTGACATGGTGCCACCAGGCATGGCTTGATCCACCCCAGGGTGACACAGTGACACCACGCGTGGCTTAATCCACCCCAGGGTGACACGGTGCCACCAGATATGGCCTGCTCTGGGGTGACATAGTGCCACGAGGCATGGCTCAATCCTCCCCAGGGTGACGTGATGCCACCAGGCACGGCCCGATCCACCCCAAGGTGTCATCATGCCACCAGGCGTGGCTCAGCCCACCCTAGGATGCCATGGGGGACACACAGGTGTCCCCAAATCTGGGGATAAAGCGGAGGGGACAGTCCTCACCCAGGTACTCGAGGCCACACGCCACGTTGCTACCCAGCAATGCCACTTGTTCCCGGGAAATCTGGCTCCAGCACGCGTCGTTGCCCACCAGTGCGATGACGGGCGTCTGGAGGGGACAAAGCACAGGGCCACCACAGCCTGGTGACACCCCAAGATGAGGACAAGACCCCCACGTCACCCCATTTTTGGTGCCATCTCACCTTGTGCCGCACGAAGGTGTCGAACTCCATCAAGCTGTAGCCCAACGAGCCGTCACCGTAGAGGACCCAAACCTGGCGCCGGGGAGGGGACAACCACCGTGAGGTCACGTGGGTGGGACGGTGGGCACTGTCCCCACAGGCCACCTCCTGTGTCCCCCCGGTACCTCCGCCTCGGGACGGCAGAGCTTAGCGCCGAGCGCGAACCCTCCGCCGACTCCCAATGTGCCGAAAGCTCCTGCGGAGACAACAACCGGTGGCGTCACCCATCTGCGGGTGTCCCCTCTACGGTGGTGGTGGGGGGAGGACGACACACGGGGGGTGTCCTTACCGGGGTCCAGCCAGGCAAGGGGACGTCGGGGAAGGGCGTTGTAGGGGG